CCCCCCCCTCCCCCCTCTCCCCCCGATCACACACACACATACTTGCGCAAGGTTCAAAAACCCGTTTTCTTGTTTTTTTTTTTTTTTTTTCGATTGATTGATTGATTGATTGATTGCTGGGGGAGGGGTCGCCCCCCCTACCCCCGCCCGATCACACACACACACACAAACTCATACTTGCGCGGGGTTTCGAAGCTTTTTTTTTTTCCTTTTTCTTTTTTCTGTTTTTYTTTTTTGTTTTGCAATAGAAAACAACAATGCCCCCAAAAAAATATGGGTGTGTAGGGTTTTTTTAGCCCTACACGCCCATATATATATATTTTTTCATGCGTTAGGAAAAAAAATAAAAATCCTGCACCAAACTTGGCTGGTCGGCCGAGGCCGAACCTGGCCGATTTGGCTATCGGCCGAGGCCGCGGCCGATTCCCCCCCCCCGGCCGCGGCCGGGCGTGCAACATAGCTGGTCAGGGTTCCTTCGGCCATACGGAAGGAAGCGTGAGAGTGTTCACCATGTATCTCAAGTTTTGACTTGCCGGTGGAAAGGAACAGGACTGACGCTCCCCAGAATGGATATGGAGCCAGGACCATAAGGACCTGTTTCTTTTCACAAAAAGAATAAAATAATGATAAGAAGATCGCTATAAAATGTGTGCTTCTTAATTGCATCCGTAGGCTATTTGTGCAAGCGGACAAGTGACACATGTTTGCGTTTGTGTTGTGGGTTTGTGGCCTGTTTTGCGGGCGATGACAGGAACTCAAAATTGACTCATCTGCTTCAAGATTCATTAGGTGAGTGTGTCTGCTTTTGTGCTTCTTTTGAGGCATTGTCAGGCTCTAATGGTGCTATGCTGGTGCTTGAAAACCAAGAACGGCCGTTTTGTGATCGAGATCTTGTTCGTGCTTTGTTAGCATTCATTGGGTGCGTTTGTCTGCTTTTGCACTTCTGTTGATGCAGTGTAGGGCTCCACTCGTATGCTTGAAAAGCAAGAACCGTTTTTCTAATTGTGATCTTGTTCATGCTTTGTTAGCATGAGCATAACAGCAGCGGACCTGAGTCGTTGTTCTCCGAACTTCCTGCCCGTCTCCGTTTCACCGATTGGTTGCAAAGTGTCGTAACCTTTTCTGGCATCAATGAGAAGTGGGCCTATGCGATCAGGGGTGCAGCAGGAGGCATTCGGAATACGGAATTGAGTATGTAAAGTTGCGTTTGTGATGTGTGCAGGTGGGGACTCGAAGACGATGATGTTTGTCCAGATAAGTCCGAACGACTATGACGTTGGAGAGTCCATCTGCTCTCTGAATTTTGCAAGCAGAGTACGGGGGATCGAGCTTGGACCGGCCAAGCGCCAGATTGACGGAGGGGAGCTTGTCAAGTACAAGCAGATGGTAACCGCACACACCACTTGCCGTTCTCCTTAAGTTGGTGAGATGTAATGTGTCTGGGCCGTATATTGTATTTTATTCGACACTGCCCAGGAATGACCCAATTTCAAAGGCATGTTACAATACTGCATTTGCCATTGTTGCATCCCTCCTACGCATATTAGTTAGTGAAACGATTATACTCGGACGCGTCAGCGTTTATGAATTCGCATTGTCGAGCTACTGTTGGTATTGTTTCGAACGAGAATCATGGTGGGCGTAATTTTAGGAAAGCAGGGCAAAGTAGATGGTTAGGAAGACGGCCCGTTGTTTGTGGTGTTGCTATGGATCCTGTAGACTGTCTCTACCTCGGTTCCTAGGAGACAAAGTTGCTTTCCAGAGTTAATTGATTTTCAGAGTTCTTCTCTGTCGTTGAATGTAATGGGCAGGTGTATATGATACCGCCAGTAATTGTGGCGGTTTGTCTTTCATTCACTTGCATTCTCTTTTATGCTACCTTAAACCACTAATACCTTTGCCGTCTGGGTTCAACAAGTTGTAGCCTCGTCCCAAACTTTTAGGAGGCTGGGCCCGACAACGGCTGCCGTTGATAAATCTGATCGGCGGCCGTCGTTTAGTTATAGCCTCCTGAAAGGTCGGAGGCCTGCTATTTTCCGAACAGACAACGGGATTAGTGCTTTAAACACTTGATCTGTACCACAAAGTGAGCTTGGACATTCTTTTTGTTTTCTCTGATTGACGTTGATCCTCCTCACTATGACTGGATCCATTAGTTTGAGCTTTAAAATAAAAATTTTGAAGTCTTTGAAACAGTTTGTCGATTTATGTTTGTCATCCTTGCGCAGGGGCCATGTTAATCTTGTCTGTATAGTTCCACAAATTTAACGGATGTTGCGAAGGATAGAGTGAGCTTGGACTTTCCACCCTTGATTTGATCAGTTTTGTCCTGACCTCTTCGAAGTTGCAGTCGTCGCTCATCAACCATCCTTGTACTTACGCATGGGGGTCTATTTCATGACGACCATCACTTAGATTGGAGCTCTCTTTCATGCCAACCGTAACTTGCGTATTTAGCTCTCTTTGAGCTCTTTTTTCGTGCCAACCATGAATGGAAGGAGTCTCATGCTGAAGCCTTTTTCTAAGTTTTGAATTTTGGAAAAATGCGTGGTATATTTCATCAGTGGAAAAATGCATTGTATATTTCAGGAGTGTCCTTGGCGTCAGGTGCAAGCCTCGATGTTGAAGCATGCTTGATTTGATCTTTGGACGCGTGGTTTGCAATTGTCATTTGAACCATCAGGTGACCACATCAAGGCAGGAGATGAGGTCCAAGGATGAGGCTCTTAAGAAGCTTGAGGATAAAATGGCTAAAGCTATGGAAGCCATGGAAGCAAAGTTAAAGGGCAAAGATTCGGCACTTGCCGCTCTTGGCGAGAAGGTAAGAAGCGAGCTTTGTGGCGTGACAGACCAGCACTCTTAACCAACTAAGCTATTTGGTTCAGGGAAGAAAGCCACGACGAAATACTTAACCAATGCCTTCTGTATTGTGTCGCGGACTCGACTAGCCATCCCACGGTCACAATAAACCCGCTGGCACGGCTGCAGCAGCAGTGAGTGGATACCCTGCAAGATTTGTGCAGGGTGTGCTCTGCAGCACTGGTAATTCTTTGTGGTTGGTGTTCATGATAAGAGGAATCGTAGGCTATGTTTATTTTCTGTATATACATATCGGTTCATGTGTGTCATCCTCACTGTCATCCATGCTTGTCGTATGTGCATTCGAAGGGGTTACGTGCATTCGGATGTGTTGTGTTTGGTCAGGTTTTCCTTTTTGCTGAGAGATGTTGTTGAGGGTTCAAAAACTTCAAATTCATTTCTTTATTGAAAGAAATATAAAATTGGACCATTTCTCTATTTATGCGTGTCATCCTTGTGCAGGGGCAATGGCAATCTTCTTCTCTGTATTGTTCCAATTTAAACAGACGTCCCCGAAGGACGGGTTCAAAATTCCCATACGTTTCTCGATGTGCTTCGTGATTATTTTGGTGCTTTTTGTTTTCAGTTGTTTTCTCCACTGTTAGTTCTAGGTCGAGCCTTGTCAATGATCGGCGTTATTGATTTATTTGGTTTCATGTTTGGGGTGTTGATGAGTGAAAAGGTCCGCACAAAGGACTTGGCCCTTGCAGATTTAGAGGCACAGCTATCTGCCGAGCGCAAGGCATTGAAAGAGGCCAAGTCATGTCAAGCTGAAGCAGAGGAAAGGGAAGCGCGGGCGCAGCAACAGGCCGTGGAAGCAAGAGAGGCAGAGAAGCAGGCTCAGACCACGCTGGAAGCTATGAGGGCCCAGCTGAAAGAGGCACAGGAAGCCTTAGCGGCAGCTCAGGCGGAGGCTCAGGCGACCATCACAGCTGGGACAGTGTCGGCTGCTGAGCGTCGGGTACTACGAGAGTCACAGATTGGGGCTTTGTCAAGTGCTGCTGAAATGGGCGAGGATGCCGGGGTGTCTGTATCGATGTCGGGTTTGGATAAGAAGAAGATAGCGTCCTCTGTAGTCTTCCAGTCCATGGGTCAATCGGGATGGAACGAAAACGTTGATCCTTTGAGGGCAGATGTGTCCGAGTCAATGTCTGTGACACAAAGCACATCTGTATCGAATCTTGTGGCTCCCAAGATGAGACTCATTCAGGCACGTGGCAACTCCGCTATTCCGTCTCCGCTAATGACCCCGTCAAGGGTACGGAAGATGTCTGGGACAACTACTGCTTACAGTCTTCAGCTCCAGGCATCAGCTTCAGGGTTGAAGATTGCTGTACCTGCGTTTCAGAGACCCGGAACGGCCTCAGCAGGAAGCTCAGCATGCTCAACACCAAATGGTTCTAATCTCGGCGATGACCATCGCTTGTCTGCTCCCTATGGAAATGATGCAACGCAAGCTGTTGATGTATCTGGAGGCGAAGACGTTGGGGCATCGGGTGCAGGCACGTGCAAGGGCATCCCGGGCTCGATGCTGAAGGCCGCAATGCCTGTGGAGAGAGTATCGTGCACAGGAGGGAAACCGGGTAAGAATGATGGTGCAGAACGGAACGACGATCCTGCAAAGCGGAGGAGGGCAAGTGAGCATGCAAACGAGCCCGGTCACAGAGCTAATTTAACCGCTACAAGTGTTCCGGAGCTCAAACCGAAAAGCATTGGAATGGGCTTGGCACGGCTTGCTTCTGGGCGAGTCCCAGTGGCACCGGTCGGTCCTCCACAGCGTGTGAAAGCCCCTCGTGCAGGGGGTGGTGCCGTCAAGCAGATTAGAGCTCTGGAGATAAGGGAGAAAAGATGGAATAAATGAGTGGACTCGCTGGTGCAGAAATCATAACAATGTGCTGTGCTGTGAGGTATGTGCTTTATTTATTAAGAAGAAGCAGTCCTTTTCTTCTTCTTAGTGTAATGGACAAGGCTCGTTGAGATTGTCATCCAAATCGAAGTTCTCTGCTTTTATTGTTTTTCGCTTTTTTTGTTTGTGTTTTTCATGCGGGAAAGGGTGGTAAAGGAGTGACCCATCACAGCTGTTCTTAAGAGGGAGCAGTCATCCTGATGGTGGTGAAGCTTTGGGCTTTTAGCGCGAATAAAAGGGACTGAGATGGCCAGCGTGGAAATCAGTGGAGCACCTTTTGTAAGTTGATGCCCAAAGCACTCCAATCAAAGATGTTGATTGTTGTGGATAATTGTCGTGTTAGTCTGGAATATCTGGGGGTGGAAACATTGGAAGGGAGATGCAGGGGAAAAGAAAGGCACGCCTATGGTTGTGAGTAGGGGTGATATAGTCGGATACAAAATATTTTGGATTGGAAGACTTGGCGAACGGGAGTGACACTCAGCATTGGGGTCAGGAACAACGAATCGGAGGGAGAGAGAGGTGGATAATGCATCTGGATGGTGGCATGCTCGTCTCGAATATGAATCGTCGGCCATTGGGCAGTACTTGTATGCAGAAATATGGATATGTTTATTTATTAAATTTATTTCCATTGTCCTTTGGGACGTCCGTTAATGGAACGATACAGAGAAGCTTACCATCGCCCCTGCGCACGGATGACATGCATAAATCAAGCAACGGTCCAGATTAAAATATATATATATTTATATACGTATGTCGTCATATATAATTATTGCCATTGCACTCACTTTCTGGCGACCAGTGGTGGGCACTTACCTGTACAATGTTTTTTTTGAAACCCAACTCTTGCGTGCATATCATGTGAACAGGGAAATCTCTATTCTGTGTGCTCAACTTATTTCAATCTGTAAAACATTCATTAATATTCCTGCGTTTTGTCCTCTCCCTTCCACAGTGGACTCCTCGATGGTGCATGGAGGGCAGGGCGATAACACGAATGGAGCAGTGGCTCTGCGGGAGATGTGGACGGAGGAATGTGGGATTTTTGTTCTGGAGCTGAATGCATGTGCTTGTCACATTTATTTGGGACTATGACTGGGGGTGATCTACTTTTGCAAGTGTCTTTTCATTTCATAAGCTGTTCTTCTATAGCTTGTTAAAAGAAGAGAGTTCTGTTATGCTCTGACAGCCGGTGGTCGGAGGGTGGTTCCCTTGATTAACTCGGTAATGGCCGGATTGATTTCGCTCAGGAAAATGAGTTAGACAGGAGGCTGAAGAAACACTGCAGGACTTGGCTGATGTGGGTGAAGTGCTGTGAATGCCTGGAATGCGATTTTGAGATGGATGGATGAATGACTGGAATAACAGAGGAGTTGCAGGGAAGTGAGAATTGCAATATTTCACTGCAGCTGGGAGCCAAGGGGGTGTTGTGGACTCTGAGAGGAGTGTGTGTGTGTGTGTGTGTGTGTGTGTGTATGGAGATGTGTAGCTGTGGTGTGCTCGTGTGTGCACGTATGTGCATGTGGATATGTCTACATTTGTGTGTGTGTGTGTGTGTGTGTGTGTGTGTGTGTGTGTGTGTGTGTGTGTGTGTGAGAGAGAGAGAGAGAGAGAGAGAGAGAGAGAGAGAGAGGGAATAAATCAGTTGGGTTTGTGGTAATCATGCCAGGTGGAAGGGAGTGAACGTCTGTAGGCTTACGTGCTTGGAGAGGCAGGGATGCAGGGATGGGGAATGCAGAGGAGGAGACCTGTTGTGGCAGAGAGGGCCAGGGATGGGGAATGCAGAGGAGGAGACCAGTTGTGGCAGAGAGGGAAAAAGGAAGGGTGAGGGGAGAATAATCGGAGGGGATAGATGGAAGTCGTCGAAATGTGGATCTCGTTGGGCATGACCACTGCAGTGAAGTACGGCGAAGGGTTCGCCATGCGTGACGGGCCTCCTCATTTGGGACTGTGGTCAGGGACGAGATTGAGAAGAAGGAGAGCAAAGAGAGGGGTATGTCAGGCCCATGTTGAGGAGATGGGAGAGTCTGGGAGCAAAATGCGAAGGGATCCAGCAGTGGATGACAATACAGTGAGGGAGAAGAGGAGAGTTCCTACGAAGAATCCAGAAGGGGCTAGCTGGAGGTTGATGCCAATTATGAGAAAGAAAGGAGGAAACAGATGGGAACGAGAGAGCAGGGTGGATCAGGCTTGCAGCATGGAGTGTTTTCTGGCACGGGGCTGGTGAGCAATCAGCTAGGAAAGATCGAGATGGGAGATGGAGGGGACAACTCTTTTCATACATGAAGCATAAATTATGTTCGCTAAGCTGATACCTTCAAGCAATCTATGTTGGGAGGCAGGTAGAAGGAAAAAGATGAGATCATAGGAGCATTTTGCGAAATGGGTAGGAGGATGGATAGGAGGTGGCGGCGGAGGGGGAGGTGTAGGTGGGGTAGGTGGAGTTATGGAAGAGTAGAATTCATGTGCAATGGGCTTGTTGCACCCCCAAAGGATCAGGGAATTGGACGAAGACAATCATGGTGGATGGTGGATTTTATGGGCATAAGCCGCATAACTAATCATGCACCACATGCTCATGGGAGAGACAGTCGAAGAACGAACAATTGCAGGTTGCAGGAGGGGAGTGGCTATATCTAGGACCACGAAGGGAACATGCGCCGGATCGGAGAGTCGAAAAGGTTCAGCTATCTCCTGTGCCCAATTTGCTAGCTTAGGCTTGAACTTCGCCTGCGCTGCAAGCCATCGTAGTGTCTTGTCGTATGAATAAACCTTGACATGTCTTCCTAGGAGAAAGTGTCGTCAAGGCTTCGACTCGCCGTACAACGAGTTCTGGCCATCATGTTTCCAGCAAGCTCATATGGCACCCGTGCATTCACGGCGATCCTCGTCAAAGGTACTGGCATGTGCAGCATCTAGCAGATGCGTGGGTGAGATTGAAAATGACTCGGGACATGGCTTGTTCATGTTTTGTGCATTGAGTGCTACGTAGAGGTGGAAGTTACCGTTTAGGGACCAGGAACGGTATTCACAAGGTAAATGAGAGGGACAGGTATGCGCAAGGGGGGGAGAAGCAGGAGGTTGGTTCGGAGAGCTGGAAAGGCAAGCAAGCAAAGCGCTCAGGAGTGATGTTTTGGACCAGTGAAGCACGCATGCGGCCAGTGGGAGATAGTTTGGGATTTCACGGTTGGGTGGATGTCGTCGTGGCGAGACAGGAGGGATGACATGTCCAAGTATCCGATACCTGGGATGCGGGTCTACAAGCAAAGCAAGCATTCCACGAATGGAAGATAGTTTGAGCAAGCATTCCACGATTGGAAGATAGTTTGGGATTTGGAGGTTGGCTGGTTGTTATCTCGGCCTGATAGGAAGGATGTGTGGGGTAAGTGTACCTTGGATGAAGGTCTACCAGCAAAACAGGCATTCCAGGAATGAGAACGAAGCAAGCATTCGGCCAGTGGAAGATAGTTTGGGATTCGATGGTTGGGTGGATGTTGTCGTGGCGGAATAGGAAGGATGCATGGGCCAAGTATACTATACCTGGGATGAAGGTCTACCGGCAAAGCAAGCATTCTGCGAATGGAAGATAGTTTGAGATCTGAAAGCAAGCATTCTGTGACTGGAAGATAGTTTGGGATCTGAAGTTTTGGTGGATGTTATCTTGGCGCGATGCACGGGGTAACTGTATCTTGGATGATGGTCTACCACCCAAGCAAACATTCCAGGAATGAAAGATAGTTGAGGGCTCGACGGTTGGGTGGACGTCATCGTGGTGCGGCTCAGCGGTTGGGTGGATGGCATCTTGTGGCGTGATAGGAAGGATGCAAGGGGTGAGTGTACCTCCGATGAAGGTCTACCAGCGAAGCGGGTATTCCGCAAATGGAAGATGGTTTGACGCTCGATGGCTGGGTGAATGCGGTCGTGGCGCAGCTTGACGGCTGGGCGGATGTCATAGTGGCGTGATATTCCATGAATGGAAGACAGTTTGGCGCTCGATGACTGGGTGTATGTTGTTGTGGCGCGGCTTGGCAGCTGGGCGGATGTCATCGTGGCGTGATAGGAAGGATGCGTGGGGTAAATGTACCTACCTTGGATGAGGGAAGACCTGCATAGGGAACCTGTCAGTGTATCGTACTCGTGCATGTCTGAGCGCGACATGCTGATTACCCGTAGAGCTCTGTTGGCTTGGGAAGAAGGTCCTTGTGGAAGCGTAAAGGCTGATGGAAATAATGAGTCTGTCCCATGGAGTACAAGGCATCTTTTGTGGCACTTAGCATTAGTTTGTACATATGCATCGCGTTTGTTCTTTGCCGCCCAGTCGCTTGGTTCAATTCAAGGCTTCTGCTGCCCTGTGTGTCCGTGTCAGAGGAATGTACGTTCACTTTGTTAAGGTCGGACCCTGCGGCCACTATTCGGTGAGAAGCTGGCAGCCTTCTCCAGTTGTCTTATTAGCCAGACGTGACAAGTAAATAATTTGGCGCAGAATAGTAGCATGGGGTCCTGGTGGCCCTTTTATGTGGTGTGCTTCAGAGAATCTAGTAAAGGAGCAGGATTTGGTCAGGATAAGGGTACGTGCAGGGGGGGGAGTGTTACTTGGATAATTTCCAATTTTAGCATTGTTTGGCTGCATATGCGTGCCCGCCCTGCCAATTAATTTTCAGTTATTGAGATTTCAACGAAGTTGGTTTTATTTTATATTTTGATTTTCGTCTTGTTGTCTTCAGGGGTCCCATCCTCTCTCTCTCTCTCTCTCTCTCTCTCTCTCTCTCTCTCTCTCTCTCTCTCTCTCTCTCTCTCTCTCTCTC